TTTTTTGCACCTAGAATATTTTTTTTTTTTTTTTTTTTTTTTTTTTTTTTTTTTTTTTTTTGCCTTTGGATATCCAGCACCATTTGTTAAAAGAAGCCCCCCCCCCCACTTCCAGGTATCATTTTTGGCTCCTTTGTGAAAATTTGGACGTTTATTGTATAATTTCAGATTGGGTATTGTGATGGCTCCAGCATTGCTTTTTTTGGGGGGACTTTTTTAGCTATTGTGGGGTTTTTTGACCTTTATTTATTAATTTTAGGATTATCATTTTTAGTTCTGTGTAGAATATTGTTATTTTAATAGGGATTACATTGAATCTGTAGATCATGTTTGGTAATACAACTATTTTAACAATGATAGTTCTGCTGATCTGTAAACAAGGTAGGTCTTTTCTATTTTCTAGTGTCTTCAATTTCTTTCTTAATTGTTTGGTAGTTTTCATTACAGAGGTCTTTTACCTTCTTGGTTAAGTTGATTCCTAGGCTTTTAATTTAATTTAATTTTTTGCAGCCACTATGAATGGAATTGTTCTCATGATTTCCTTTGTAATGGGTTTATTAGCAGTGATTTTTGTTTTGATTTTGTATGCTGTCACTTTCCTGAATTTGTTTATTAGATCTAATATTCTATTGGAGTATTTAGGGTCTTCTATGTAAATTGTCATTGTCTGAAAATATAATTTGACCTCTTCCTTTCCTGTTTATATTCGTTTTATTTCTTTCTCTTGCCTAATTGCCCTGGCTAAAGTTTCAAGTATATACTGAACAGAAGTGGTGAGAGTGTACAGCCTTGTCTTGTTCCTGATTTTAGAGGAAATGCTTTCAGCTTCTCCTTACTCAGTATATTGGCTGTGGGTTTCTTGTATGTGGGCTTTGTTCAGTTTTAGAAAAAATCTTTCTATACCTATTTCCTTCAGGGTTTTTATCCTGGAAGGATACTGAAATTGTTGAGGTGTTTTCTGCATATTTTGAGATGATCATGTGGAGTTTTTTTTCATCCTTTTATGGTGTGTATTACATTTATTGATTTATGTAAATTGAACCAGCCTTGCATTCCTGGGATTAAGTCAATTTGGTGAAAATATGACCTTTTTAATGTGTTGTTGAATTCTGTTTACAAGAATTGATTTGAGGATTTTTGCATCTGTTTATTAAGGATGTTGCTGTTCTGTGGTTCTTTTCCTTTTCTTTCTTTTTTCTTTTTTTTTTGTATCGGCGTAATGCTAGCTTTGTCTACAATTTGGAAGCATTCTTTTCCTTTCTATTTCATGAAAAAAAGGTCTGGTAAAATTCAATAGTAAATCCATTGGGTCCTAGGTATTTCTTAGTTGGGAGAATTTTCATTACTATTTCAATTTCATTGCTCATTATTGACCTGTTTGGATTTGTAAACATCTTAGTACAATTTGGGTAGGCCATCTATGTCTAGAAAGCCATCCATTTCTTCTGGGTTTTCCAATTTATTGGAAATTAAATTTTCAAAATAGTTTCTAATAATCATCTGGATATCATTGCTCTCTGTTATAATTTGGCATTTTTTGTGTCTGGTTTTACTTTGGATTTCTTTTGCTTTTGGTAAGTTTGCCCAAGGGTTTATTATCCTTATTTTTTCAGAGAACCACCTCTTTGATTTATTGATCCTTTTGTATTGTTCTTTTAGTCTCTATTTCAATAACTTTTGCTCTGGTCATTATTCTTTCCTTCTCCTGTTTTTGAGTGTGATTTGTTTTTTTTTTTTTAAGGTCCTCGTGATGCATCATTAGGTTATTTCTTTGGTATTGCTGTTTTTCTGACAAAGGCACTCATAGCTGTAAACTTCTTAAGCCACTTTC